GTGTCAGTTTTTTATCATTTTTAATTTTAGATAATTTTGTTCGGATAATATTTATACAGAATAAAGAAAGGACAGTTTTGATCTGTTACAATAAAGATCAGTTTCATCGCTAAAAAGATTATGTAATTAAATTATTGATAAATCATTGATATCGATTCAAGTAACTTTCCAATTTCTACTTCTTCTTCTTGTTAACGTTTTCTTCAAATATTATTAGCCTCGAAACTAATAATGTCATGTATTTGATAAGTATGCTGTCTCCGTTTCTGTTACAATCAAATAATTGCACGCAAGAATTCTAGAACGAAATAATTACATTAAATTTTACTGATTTAACTACAAGTTTGCCGAATTCAAATTTTTGGTATATAATTTTATATATATTTACTGTGAAATTTTCACAATATAACCTTTTATATTTCATATAAATTTTTGATGAGAAAAGGAAAGACATTCTCAATTGATATCTACTTTCCTTTCGGTTGAACACATTAAGCGTAAAAAAATTGATTCGTTTTATTTTATTTTTTATTATCTTCTAATTAAATTTATAAGTAGACGATTATTTCAATATTTCAGACATATATTTCAATATTTTTCACTGATTTATTAACTAACACATTGATAAAAAAAAAACAATTTCATATTCGTAAAATTGCTAAAATTTAAAGATATGTAGTACTTAATCTTACATTGTAAAATTTAAATTTCATAGTTAAGTATGTTCTTAGTGTATTAGAGAAAAATAATTTTTATGAAAATGTAAAATCTCTCTTAGATGTAGCTATGTTTTATTTTTTATATATTTATTATTATTTAAATTTCAGACGAGAAGAAAACATTAAAATCATAATGAAGCAGGACATTCCTTTATATTTCCGGGAAGAAAATATTTATGTTACTATAAGTCAAAACTGAGGATATCATTGTATTATAAGTAAGGATATTTTGCCAAATGTTATTATTTCATCTCTTATACATTTTCTAGGATGATGATGGAAGATACTACCCAGTGAACAGAATATCTAAAATCGACGCATAAGGTAACTTCAAGATATTTTTCAGAATTCTTTATGAGATATCTTAAAGATGTTTCTTAAAGAATTCTTAAAGATATCTTAAAATTGTCTTGTGTGTCTATTTTAAACATTCCGTTCATTGAGTATCTAGATTAAACTTGGCTTTTTTACGTTCAGTAAAAAAAAATGTTCAAGCTAATTTCGGATTGTGCTATCGACTTTAGTAAGTATTTGGCACAACTCAGAGAAAAGGGAAATAGAAATAAAAGTTTCCTTTTCGAGATATGCAAATGACGTAATTGCTTCTTGTGTTTCTATAATAAAATCTTTTTGTTTTTATGGATCTTTTTCTCTTTTTTCATGGAATTAGAAAATTTAATGTCAGTTTTTACTATCAAGTTTTTTGTCAAAATAATAAGACGATTTACCGATATAGAAATCAAATATACTTTTTACATACAGAAAATAATTTAGAGATGCGTGAACTTAGTGTCATCTTTTTAACTTTCTTTATTTTATGTAATTTTGTCCATTAATACTTATATCATTTTGATATATCGATTTATCATTCAATTTTTCAGCTTCTACCTCATAATTTTCCTTTTGTCATGCGGTTCAAAATAGCTTCAAAATAGTTGGTCATGTGACATTTTCAATCGATAAATATGCTATCTCTTCTGTTACAGTCGATAACATGAATAACTGATACAAAGATAAAAAAAATTTCTTATATAAATGACAACTTTCATTCTAGAGATTTTAATTAAAATATAAGAGAAAAATCTTAAACTAAATATTTACCTTGAAAAAGCACAACAAGATCCTAAGATCCTAAAGAAGTTATTTATAATAAGCTATAATTTCTGAAAAATTATATGTTATATATTAATTACCAACTTATCAATTGTCGATTTGTAGATTTATATTATCTAATATTGATAATATCGGAAAACTAAGGAGTATATATACTTATTTATCCTACTAACTTCCTGTTACCATTCATACTTGATCGTATCCATTTGCGTCTGCATGTCGATATATGAGGTTAGGCGAGCATGTGCCATTCCATGTGCATTTAACAGTTGATTGACTCCTTTTGATTTTAACGCCGGTGTCTTCCGAAGATGACGGAAATCGTACAGGAGGATAACGAGTTAAAGAGATTGCTCAATAATCCAGCGAAAAATGCGGGCGAAGATGGCTCCATGGCCCCACCGTTATCTGTAAGCTATTAAATATGTCGGAGTCGATACGTTTTCTGAAATAATGCATATCTCGTTTGCAGACCAACGTGCCGAGACCAAGCACGTCGCAAAATGTCAATCCGCAATCGACGATGATTCCGTTAACGCCGGCCAATAGCACGAAGGAAGTTATAGAACCTTGTTTACAGTGAGTAAATTTATTCCAGCACTTGTTTGCATTGTACATAATTAAACATTACATGTAACATTGTGTTAATATTATTATTTTTTGTTCAACAGTGGAATTGTTACGCACGATGTATAACAGGAAATATAATTCAGACACTACTCGATCAAGATTTTTAGCAATTATATTAATTTTATTAAATTCAAGAAATATTTATATATATTTTATATGTAGTCTTTATTAACTAACTACATGTTATTATTTACAGTCTTTAAAATCTATAATGTTCAAAACTTATATTTTCCACTAATTTATAAGATAGAAAAATTAAGGGAACTAACTGGACTTGAACTCAAAACATTTGATTATTATCCATGACACTTAGTCTGCATGACCATAATGATTCCTCATTGATAATTTTATGTTTTTAATCTTCTAATACGTAATTAAATTCTATGATTTTTCTGTTCTTACTAATTTGATACAATTGATATGTATTCTATTATACTTATATTGTTGAATGAGTAATTATAATATTAATGTAATATGTATCACAATGTTACTGAGCTATTCTTTTTATTTTGCTTATGCAGAAATGATATTTTTTTATTGAAGTCTATATTACTTTTGCAGAAACGTAGTTTCTACAGTTAACTTGCAGACAGAACTGAAGCTTATGTACATTAATGTAAGAACAAGGAATTCCGAATACAATCCGGCCAGGTTTACTGGGCTAATAATGAGGATACAGAATCCTAGAGCGACAGCACTGATCTTTCGTTCAGGCAAATTGGTTTGCACTGGTGCAAGAAGTGAAGAAGATTCGCTTTTGGCAGCGAAGAAATTCGCCAGGATAATCCAAAAACTCGGATTTCCTGTAAGCAACTCGAATCTCACATAAAGATAATTTCCGAATTTCTAATTAAACATATGTTGCTTACGTATTTCTATAGGTGAAGTTCTCCTGTTTTAAAATACAAAATATAGTCGCAACATGCGATTTGAAATTTCCAATTAAGCTTGAGAATTTGAATCATATGCATGGTCAGTTTTCTAGTTATGAACCGGAATTATATCCTGGTCTGACATATAGAATGGTTGTACCTAGAGTTGTATTGTTAATATTTGTGAATGGTAAAATTGTATTAACAGGTACATTTGAACATAACATTTTTTAAATATTATAACGAGCAAATATTCTACATGGAAAATAATTACTGAATGCATTCATTTCTTTGATAATTTTTAGGGGCCAAAAATAGGACTGAACTACAAGATGCATTAAATAATATATATCCAATATTAAAAAGTTTTAGAAAGCAATAATATTCACAAAATAAATATGAAATAAAAATAACAAAATGTGTGAATATAATTAATTGTACAATACAAAAACGTATATCAATATCGTTCAAGTATCGTACGCAAAAGAATTTTCTGCAATTAAAATCTTAAAAATCATCCGGCATTGCTGAGTCAATAATGAGAATGATGCGTATATTTTAAATATCTTTACAAATTGATATTGCTTTGACACTGATTGATATTATTTCATGTATGTATACAAAATATTAGTCAATCTTAAACTCTTTACTGTGATAGAAAATTGTTTTATATATTTCCGTTTATTTCCGGATAATGCTATTTTAGATGACTGATAATTTTAGAAATGTAATACAAAACGATGAAAGGTTTATCTTGTATTTTTATATCTCTTTTCTAATAATTGCATAATTGAAGTATTATTATTTTACATATTTTATGATTTTTTATTAATGTGCTGTGCATATAATGTAATCTATTACATAATTATGTTAAGCAATATTTTAATTGTGTACATAAATTTGTATATAGTAATTGTAGATATATATTTCTTCATATTTTTCACAAAATATTTGTAGAAAAAGAGCCTAATTTATAAGATAAGATTATATTTTACAATAATTAAAATTAAATAAGTACGATTAAAAATAATACACGCTTTTATTTATTGTTAAAGTATATATTTCGGAGATTTACATAACAAAAATAAATATATAATACTGATATACTATATATTAAAATAAAATACAATTAACAAACAAAATTATATACGTAGTGTATACAATTTTTATAGTATTCTATATCAGAATTATTTTAAATGTACATACATCGACGTCAACATCTAATAGATCCCTCTTTAATTTTATGAAAAATTTGAATATATATCTGGATATGTAAAGTTTAATGGAATGTTCAATCGATATCGAATACAGAGGGTATTCTATAAATATCGCGAAATACAGAATTTTGCAAATCTTACGGAATACTCCATGCATTTCTTTGGACTGAAAGAATATCAACGTGTAAAAAAAAGTGTTCTCTAAACTGAACGATCGCACAAATATAGACATCTCGTAAAACGTACATGTATGCGATTACATGTATCTGACAAGTTTTCTATTAATGGTTCTATGAAAAAAGAAATTTTATATATATATATATATATATATGTGTGTGTGTGTATTTTAATATGCCCGCTGATAAACAGCCGTGGTCCATTTAAGAACTTTGTCCGTGCATCATCAGACTTGGAAACGTTACGTTTCTCAATGTTTGACGCTTTAACGCTGCGTAAATGCGTGAGTTTTGTTTATTATTCTTAGGCGGTGCCTAATTACGCATCTAATAATCGATATTTAAATAAAAGCCCTGTTTTTGGTTTTCATTTCGAACTTCAATCAGTAAAATTTGTATTATGCTTTGATGTTCGTTTCCCAAGTTTCCTCTCACGTTTGCTTCTGCGTGATCTTTAATCGATCACGTGTATGCCTTTCTTTGCAGCTATTGGCAATTTCTCTCCTTGAAAGAATGGATTTTCATCCTGAAAAGGGATTTTTATTAGTATAATTTTACTTTTATTTTTTTATATTGTTTAATTATTTTCAGGAAATAATCCTTGAAGAAAAGGAAAAGGTAGCTTCTTATAAAAAAAATATAAAAAAATCTTGTACAAAGTCAATAGTAAAGCTTGAAATGTCCAGAAATTTATGTGCAATGATGTGTTTTAGTTACCTGGAACTGTTCGACAATCTGATTAAGATCGGAATTCGAGATATGCATGTTCGACAAACTGTTGCTGCTTCCAGAATCGTTAGAGCATTCTAACATATGTTCCGTGTCGCACATGCAATCCTGCGCGCTTTGATAGTCGCGACTAAACGCCGCCGTATTTTCGAAATCGGTGAGACAATTGTTCTCGCCTGTAAAAGTACATTTTGATTCGTATACGTCCACGAACGTGCTTTTCTTCCAAAAGTTAAAAGAGATACTTTTATAATTTGAATAGAAGAGACATATCTTCAAGAGTCGTTTGATTAAAGTACAGTGTGATGATAAGAAGAAAAATAATCGAAGCTTGAAGTAAGGTGAATTTTATGATTGAAAAATATAACAATTTTCTCCACCAGATTAATGCTTAAGTGAATTTAATGTTAACTCACTCGTGTATCCAACTGGACAAGGATTCGGAGGAGTGCAATAAGCTGGTAAAGGATTTTCCGCCTTTTCGTCCTTGAGTCCTTTCAGACCAGATTGAATCCTATGTCTGTTATAGCCCTTGTTGTTATTATTCTTATCATCGAACCGATGACTCCAGAGCGTGCTATGTTGCAGATATTCCTGATCTCGTATACTTGGATTCGGATTTAGCGTGTCCATGCTGTCGTAATCAGTCGGCAATTCCATGGGCAATTCCTTGGCTTTCTCCGGGTATTCATCGCTTAAGTACGAATCGGCGTCATTCAAATTGTTTCCCAATTGATTGACCAATATTCGCAGAAAGTCGTCGCTCAATAAATCCTGTTCCTGGATACATTCGTATAGTGGATTACATGCTCTTTTTACGTCCTGTGGAAAACTGATGAATTAAAAAGAATAGACAGAAATTTATTTAGCGACGTTCCGAATCTTCGAAATTGACGATTGTCTTGAGATTGTCATTGAATTTTTTCACACATTTAAATTCAAAAAAATTTTCATATAAATTTTATTATATATATATATATATATATATATATATATGTATGTATATATATATATATATATTATAATTTAAAAAAATCTTTTTAAAATCTTAATTCTTTTAAATCTTTTTAAGATTTCTTTTAATAAATCTTTTTAAAATCTTAATTAAATTATTCGCACTTTTTAATTCGACATTAAGATATATCGCTAATTTAGAATTTAGGCCAATTTAGAATTTGAAAGTGAGAGTGAGAATTAAGAAATCCTTGATTTCAAAAATCAAATATTTTATCCCGCAGAAACAAATTCCTCTCGATTCATTTTAACTCATCTATTTTTTGCATATGCAGAGCTGCTTATGATTACCTTGAGTAAGGGCCAATAAGCGTTCGCCCGTGCAGTAACAGCGATTAAGAAGATAATGCAGTACAGCATGATGATCAATGCGTGCATCTACAGAATAATACAAAAGATTTGTTTTTTTTTTTTTTTTCATAGATGCGATTTTATCATTTATTTTTTTGACAGCAATGTTTCAACAAGCAAAATGTTAGCGATACGCTAGCAATTTGTCAGCAGATTCGAGCAGAATATTGCGACACACTGGCATCAACTACATCTGCGTTAAGCTCATTATGCTGCCAGCGGAACCCGCCGACGTCATTTGACAACAGATGATCAGGAGAAACTAGAATCTGTTATTTCGTAATCATTTAAATGGAACACATTTAAATGACTAAGAAATGATAGATTTTGTATGATTTCCATGGTTAATCTGCCAACATATTTTGCTAGTAGATTCTTATGCTGACATTTCGTCGACAATTTACAGCAAACACCTTGCAATATCTACTTTTAATAAACTTTTAATTAACTGTCAATTTTTATTTTAATAATTCTCTAACAAATTTACTAAATACATATTTTATAAAACAAAAAAATTGAATTTAACACACGACACAATATATATATATACCACTTTAATTATTATTACATATTGCTACAATATGACGTTTTCTAGTCTAAGTCAAGCGAGTTCTCGTCGCGATGGTTCTCATAGCTTGGATTTTCTCAGGACGCATTTCAATTATGCGATTTTAAGAAGCGATGGGATTCAATTGTCCGCGACAGGTAACTCACCGTAACCGGCACCGACGACGTGGACCGGATGTCCTCGAGGAGAGGTGCCGCACACCAGTTTTCGCCGCACACACGCTTTCCGTCGTCGTCGTCGTCATCGACGGCCGCGGTCGCCGTCGCGACGAGCGCCGTTCGCGGTCCCAGCGAGTACCAGAGTATTGATTTTACCTTTTTCCGTCGTTTTCCCCCTCGTTTACGATCCCGTCCCGACAATGTGCCCGTCGCCCACGAGCCCGATCCTCGTCGGCCAACCCACATTCGTAAAATCGAACCGCTGCCAAAGGTCACTCGACTGTCGTGGCCAATATGCGGCCGATATAGCCAAGAAAAGGAATCCTTTCGACGGACTCGGAATACCGATGAGCAAGATCGTCCGTGCTTTCGAGTGTATTGAAACGCGGTGTGTTCGAGCTCTGTTCTAAAAAGAGAGCGCTCGAAAGAAAGGGAATTAAGCACATAATCTTCAAATTTTAGAGAACTTCAACATATCCGAATGAATGATTCGATAATGTAATTGAAGATGTGTAGAGTGTATTAAAAATTTATTATAAACTTAACATATCTAAAAAATGTCTGACAAATAAGCTGATAAAGCACTCTTTCATTTAACATTAATAATTTAATTTAAGTTAAGATGAACATTTTCACAAATAAATAAATTTAAAGTCATTTTTTTATATATGATAATTGTATTATTGACTATCCTTTTGCGAATAGCGGAGAGCGAAACAGTTTTTCTTGACGACTTGCACAATGATCTCTGTCACTTTTCTTAACGCAGAATTATCTTGTTACTTTAGTTAACTGTGTATCGGTTATTTGCTTATCTAAATTGCATTCATAAGCAACGGTTGCCTGTAAATGTGATTTGTGTGCAGGACACGTCGTTCGGATAACGATATTAAAGCCAGCTCGTATATCTCAAAGTCCTGTAAAGTATCTAAAGTATGAGGTCATTTTGTTCCACGAACACGCCAAAGTTAACATCATAAAAATGTAATTTCTTCTTTTAATGACATTCTCCAAGAAATGAATAATTTTATTTCCTCAACTATATTGCGCGCTTTCACCACACGTATTAATATTATTGCTAAGTCGACAAATATTTCTTCCTTTTCATAGCTCTTCTTCTTTCCTTTTTTATAGCGTGTATAAATGTGAATATTGAAATACAAATAGTTTCATGAAATTGCTGTATATAAAATTAATTTTAATTATTAAAACTATATTTGACTTATTAAAATAACAAATTACATAAGATAGAAAATTTATATTTAGTTATCTGAAAATTTATATAAAAAGAAAAATAAGTAAAATTGAAATATAAATAATAAGATCTGCAACCAATTTTTAAAAATTTCTGTATTTGCGGATTGCTCGTTTCTTCTCATAACGCAAAAGTAATATCTCTCGCAAAATTTTTTATGCGCGAAATGCGCATAAAATTGAGGAGATAAAATTGAGAATAAAAATTCCGAATTTGATAAAGGCTTGGTGAAGAAGCACAGTGGCGGTTGTTTGTCAAGCCGGCAGTTTCATTAAGCGTTACAGGAGGGTTAAGGTAGAAAGTGTAGTGGCGCACAGGGATGAAAGATCAAAAGATCTTCCCCCTTGTTATGGCCGCATATAAATCGTCCATTAGTTGTTGTCGCAATGCATTTCAGCAACTCAATTTGCAAAATCAAATTCCCATTTACCTTTGTCCCATCATGGTAAGATTATATTTATTACATTAATGAGTCACAACGTTTTTAAGTAGCTTTTTATAAGTCTGCTGTACAATGATATTTTTTAATATAATCAGCTGTAGAGAAATATTTTTATTTTTTTTATTTATTACAAGTGAATAAAAACTATTTCTACACTTGAAAACCTATAAAAA